CGGGCGTCGGGGGGAGGGAGGGAGTGAGGGATTTTTCCCAACCCTCCTGCGTTGGGTTCTCGTTTTGAATAGAGCACTGCTCGCGCGTCTCCTTCATTACTTCCTTCCTTCCCGTCCCTCTCTTCCCTCCTGCCTTTTACCTCGCTCGTCGCTGAGTGCCAGTCTGCCTCCTACCTGGTCATCCCTTCGCCACTTTTGAGGCCTGCTGGGGGGCCCAGCACAGTGGGTACACACCGCGGTCTCAAATTAGACCTCGCCATCCCTGGGGGGCTGCGATCTGTGAAACTGTCGCCACTTTCGAGGCCTGCTGGGGGGCCCAGCACAGTGGGTACACACCGCGGACTCAAATTAGACCTCGCCATCCCTGGGGGGCTGCGATCTGTGAAACTGTCGCCACTTTCGAGGCCTGCTGGGGGGCCCAGCACAGTGGGTACCCACCGCGGACTCAAATTAGACCTCGCCATCCCTGGGGGGCTGCGATCTGTGAAACTGTCGCCACTTTCGAGGCCTGCTGGGGGGCCCAGCACAGTGGGTACACACCGCGGACTCAAATTAGACCTCGCCATCCCTGGGGGGCTGCGATCTGTGAAACTGTCGCCACTTTCGAGGCCTGCTGGGGGGCCCAGCACAGTGACGCCACCGCGGACCCAAATTAGACCTCGCCATCCCTGGGGGGCTGCGATCTGTGAAACTGTCGCCACTTTCGAGGCCTGCTGGGGGGCCCAGCACAGTGACGCCACGGGCAGATTCAAATTAGACCTCGCCATCCCTGGGGGGCTGCGATCTGTGAAACTGTCGCCACTTTCGAGGCCTGCTGGGGGGCCCAGCACAGTGACGCCACGCGCGGATTCAAATTAGACCTCGCCATCCCTGGGGGGCTGCGATCTGTGAAACTGTCGCCACTTTCGAGGCCTGCTGGGGGGCCCAGCACAGTGACGCCACGGGCAGATTCAAATTAGACCTCGCCATCCCTGGGGGGCTGCGATCTGTGAAACTGTCGCCACTTTCGAGGCCTGCTGGGGGGCCCAGCACAGTGGGTACTCACCGCGGACTCAAATTAGACCTCGCCATCCCTGGGGGGCTGCGATCTGTGAAACTGTCGCCACTTTCGAGGCCTGCTGGGGGCCCAGCACAGTGGGTACACACCGCGGACTCAAATTAGACCTCGCCATCCCTGGGGGGCTGCGATCTGTGAAACTGTCGCCACTTTCGAGGCCTGCTGGGGGGCCCAGCACAGTGGGTACTCACCGCAGATTCAAATTAGACCTCGCCATCCCTGGGGGGCTGCGATCTGTGAAACTGTCGCCACTTTCGAGGCCTGCTGGGGGGCCCAGCACAGTGGGTACCCACCGCGGATTCAAATTAGACCTCGCCATCCCTGGGGGGCTGCGATCTGTGAAACTGTCGCCACTTTCGAGGCCTGCTGGGGGGCCCAGCACAGTGGGTACCCACCGCAGACTCAAATTAGACCTCGCCATCCCTGGGGGGCTGCGATCTGTGAAACTGTCGCCACTTTCGAGGCCTGCTGAGGGGCACAGCACAGTGGGTACCCACCGCAGACTCAAATTAGACCTCGCCATCCCTGGGGGGCTGCGATCTGTGAAACTGTCGCCACTTTCGAGGGCTGCTGAGGGGCACAGCACAGTGGGTACCCACCGCAGACTCAAATTAGACGCCGCTTTCGTCCTTGTTCTCCTCCTGCAGTCACCTTCCCTCTGCTGCTGACGTGCTGATGGTTCGGCTTCCCGCACGTTTTTCTCCTGCTCTGCGTTCCCGACTCCCCATGTCCTCTTCGAGCCTGTATCTGTCGCCCCTCGTTCTTGTATGGTTCTCCTGCGCATCATGCCACAGGCGCGTGTCCCAAGTAGCTTACACATCAAGTTGATTGTCCATGCAAGTTTCGGCCAACTCCTCGTTTCCATTGATACAAGTGGGTTGGGTACGTCACAGGGTAATTTTGGATTGCGCATCTGAAGGGAGGGAGGGAGGGAGGGAGGGAGGGAGGAGGAGGAGGAAATGAGGAGGAGGAGGAAAGGAGGAGGAGGATGAGGAGGAGGAGGAGGGGGACGAGGAGGAGGAGGGAAGGAGGAGGAGGAGGAGGAGGAGAACCAGCGTAAACCCAAGACTCATCGACGACATCGCGATAAGCCCTCCCTCCAAGTTGCCTCGTCGTAGGCCCCTACAACGGTTCATTTTCAATGGGGGAAGTGCCCGTTCGAAGACAGCCGTTTGAAAATCCGGAACTATACCAGAACACCTTTGCTGGGACTTCGACGCTGCGAATCACCATTACTGCTGCGTCTTGACGATCCTCAATCGTGCCCGAACACCGTGAATCAACGTGACTATTGCGCCCTGACGTTCCGACATCGTGCTCATATATTGTTTCTGGAAAGTTAGCCATGAGAATCCTTGACACTGTTGCAAACTCTGAAGTTGAATGTGCGCGGCGCTATGGCGAGAGCCACCTTCTGAAACATGGACCGCCCTTCATCCGTGAAACTGCTGCAAACTTTTAAGACGAATGTGCGCAGCGCTAATGCGAGAGCCACATTTTGAAAACTGGCCGCTTTCAATCCGTGAAGCCCCTGCACATGTTTAGTATGAATGTGCGCGGCGCTAGGGCGAAAGCCACATTTTGAAAACGGCCCGCCATCCATCCGTGAAGCTCTTGCATGTGTTAGACGGGCGTGCACGGCGCTAAGGCGAGAGCGACCTTTTGGAAGCGGCGCGCTCTCCATCCGCGAAGCTCTTGCAAATTCTCAAAACGAATGTGCGCGGCGCTAAGGCGAGAGCCACCTTTTGAAAACGGCCCGCCCTCCACCCGTGGAGCTGCCGCGTTTTTGTCGGCCTCGGGCTCGGGAGTGGCGAGGAGGTCTCGGGCAGAACACACCCGGCCCGCCCCGTCGACCGGCCTCGGGGTGCGACAGGGAGGAGTTGTTCATGCGGAGGGGGGGTGGAGGAGGAGTGGCAGGGGGCGGAGGAGGAGGAGGAGGAGGAGGAGCAGGAGGAGGAGGAGGAGGAGGAGGAAGGCCAGTGTAAACCCAAGACGCATCAAAGATATTGCAGTAACACTCCCTCCCATTTCCCTCTTCATAGGTCCCTGCAGAATAATATTTTCAAGGGGGGGGGTGTCACATTAATCCTCAATCGTGCCAAACACCATTCCTATGTCTTCACCGCCGCGGATCAACGTGACTGTTGAATTTCGATAATCCTACATCTTGTCAGAAAGCTGTTCTGGGGACTTTAACATTGCGAACCAACGATGTTGTCACGGCCTGACAGTCCGAAAACGTGTCAGGACACCATTCCTGGGACATCATCAGCACGAATCCACAATAGTGTTGCGTCCCGACAACCTCTAATCATACTGCAAGACCATTTCTGGGACGCTAACCATTCGAATCCTTGAGGCTGCTGCAAACTGTTGAGACCAATGCGCGCGGCGCTAAAGCGAAAACCACATTTTCAAAAGGAGCCGCCCTCTATCTGCGAAGCCCTCGCAAAATCTTAGGACGAATGTGCGCGGCGCTAAGGCGAGAGCCACATTTTTAAAACGGCCCGCCCTCCATCCGTGAAGCTGTTGCAAATTTCAAGCTTCAGGACCATACGTGGCGGAGGAACGCCGCATCGACGCGCCTGAGGGTGCGACAGGGAGGAGCTATGTATGACTAAAAAGGATGGAGGTGGAGGGGGAGAAGGAGGAGAAGGAAGAGCAGGAGGAGGAGCAAGGAGGAGAGGGAGGAGGTGGCAGAAGAGGTAGAGCAGGTGCAAGGAGGCTGAGGAGGAGGAGGAGGAGGAGGAGCGGGGAGGAGGAGGAGCGAGGAGCGAGGAGCGAGGAGGAGGAGCGATGAGGAGGCAGAGGAGGAGGATGAGTAGGAGGAGGACGAGGAGGAGGGAGAGGAATATTATTAACGATAGTACTAATCATCATTTGCATAACCAGAAAAATCAGAACACGATGAAGATTACGAGGAACACTACTGTTATCATTTTTATTATTATTGTTACTGCTACTATTATTATTACTATTACCACTACTACGACGACGACGACGACTACTACTACTGCTACTACTAATAATACTAATCATACGAACATGTAGAATCATGTTCAGAAGAACACTAAGCATGCTATTACTAATCATACTGATGCTAAGGCAAATGCTCATCACCTTAGTGCCGCTAAGAATAGTAAGACTACCAAAAATACGAGAACTAATGGCATTACTGATACTGATGGTACGACTCGTATAACATACGACCACACATACGAACAATCTTATTTTTTAGGAATAATGCTAATACTTATACTACTATGAATACCAAAGCTGATACTACTAATGGTCGTAATCGTAGCACTACTAAGATTAACGCTAGTGTTACTACTATTCTTGTCATTTGTGATAATATGAGTACCAGTGATACTACTACTACTACCGCTACTACTATTATTACTCGTACTACTACTACTACTACTACTACTACTACTACTACTACTACTACTACTACTACTACTACTACTACTACTGCTACTAATACTCTTATTATTAGTTATTACTACTACTGCTAGTACCATCACTATTACTATTACTTCAAGTGCTAATGCAGTGTTATTCCCAATCAGAGCTTGCCTCTGTACGGGTCCTAGCGGGTTCATATGGTTAGGTTAGCTGCAAAGCCGATTTTAGCGGCCCGCCTGGGTGCCTGGTAGCCCTATAGCCCTATAGCCCTCTAGCCCTATAGCGTTATAGCCCTATAGCCCTATAGCTCTATAACCCTATATCCCTTTAGCCCTATAGCTCTATAGCGCTAATCGCCCTATAGCCCAAGATCCCTACATCCCTATAGCCCTATGGCCCCCTAATCCTATAGCCTCTCAGCCCTATAGCCCTTTAGCCCTATAGGCCTATAGCCCTATAGCCCTATAGTCCCACAGGCCTATAGCACTATAGCCCTATAGCCTCATAGCCCCATGGCCCTGTAGCCCTAGAGCCCTATAGCCCTTCAGCCCTGTAGTTTTATAGCCCTATACCCCTATAGCAACATCGCCCTATAGCCCCATAGCCCCATAGCCCTAAAGAAATTATCATTGGGGTTTTTCTCTGGTATCATTCGTATTGGGGTCCTAGAGGATTCATATGCTTAGGCGAGTTTGGCCGCCGATTTCCGTGGCCCGCCCGGGTGCCTGCCCGGGTGCCCGGGTGCCTTGGTGCCCAGGTGCCTGGGTGCCCAGGTGCCCGGGTGCCAGGGTGCCTGATAGCCCTATAGCCGTACAGCCCTACAGCCCTATAGCCTGATAACCTTCTAGCCCTATAGCACTATAGCGCTATAACCCTATAGCCCTAGAGCCCTATAGCCCCATATCCCTAGCCTTATAGTCCTATGGCCCTATAACCCCATAGCCATATAGACATATAACCCTACAGCCCGACAGCCTTATAGTCCTATAGCCCTATATGCCTACAGCCCTATAGCCCTATATCCCTGTAACCCTAGCGCCCTATAACCCTATAGCCTTATAGCCTCACATCCTATAGCCCTACAGCCCTACAGCCTTACAGCCTTATAGCTTTACATGCCTAATGCCCTATACCGTATATCCCTATAGCCTTGTAGCTTTATGGTCCTAGAGCCCTGTAGCCCTGTAGCCCCACAGCCGTATAGCCCTAACAAAAAGGATTGGGACTTTCTTTGGTATGATTATAACTAGTAGTAGAAGGAATAGTAGTAGTAGTAGTAGTAGTAGTAGTAGTAGTAGTAGTAGTCGTAGTAGTAGTAGTAGTAGTAGTCGTAATAGTAGTCGTAGTGATAGTAGTAGTAGTAGTAGTAGTAGTAGTAGTAGTCGTAGTATCAGTAGTATTAGCAGCACTAGCAGAAATTTTACCATCAATGATGATATCTGTACTGCTAATAGCAATCGTAGTATTAATATTAGTACGACTAAAAGTAACAATCTACTACCGGTACAAGTCAGCATAGCAATTCTAAACTACTATTAAGAGTCGTCGTACTCATCATCGTAGTACTACCAATAATATTGTATTATTAACAATGATACGACTATCATTCGTATTAGTATTATTGTGAACATGAGTATGACTAGACGTATATATACGGTGATTATCATTATCCGTATGATGGTATTTTTGATCAGGTATTATCAGTTTTCTTAGTACTGGCGGGATTGTGATTATGAGTGTGATTGGTCTTCTGATGATTATCGTTCTATATCGTTATACTAGGACTAATATCATTAGTCTGATGAATACTGCTGTTAGTATTAATCACGTTAATACTAACACGAATACTACTGCTACTACTACTACTGATACTAATACTTCCAATAAATTCGAATCTTAATATCAATACCGATACTAATATTACTACTAATCCCGATACTATTACTGTTACTAGTACTGATAATACTACTGCTACTACTACTCATACTAATAATAGTACCAATCCCAGTACTGATACGGATACTATTACCAATACTAGTGCTAGTACTAGTACTAGTACTAGTACTAGTACTAGTACTAATATTATTTCTAATCCTAATAGTAATAGTAACACTGATACTATTACCAGCTCTAATACTCATACTAATACAAACACTAGTACTAATTCCAATAATACGACTACTAATGCAAGTATTAGTGCTAATGCTACCACTACTACTAATACTACTACTACTAATACACATACTAATACGGATATAAAAACCATGACTAACACTAATACTAGCAATACTACTCATATTAATACTAAATGCCAATACTAGTACTAAATGCTACTGCTAATGCTAATACAAATACTCATACTATTACTACTACTGTTACTAGTACGAATGCGAATGCTAATACTAGTACGAATACTAATACTAATACTAATACTGATACTGATACTCATACTACTACAACTAATACCAACACTAATATTAATAATAACACCAATACTAATACTAATACTAATGCTGACACTAATGCCAATGCCAATGCTAATGCTAATGCTAATGCTTGTGCTAGTGCTAATGCTAATGCTAATGCTAATGTTAATCATAATACGACGATTACTACTACTACTACTACTACTACCACTACTACTACTACTACTACTACTACTACTACTACTACTACTACTACATTATACTACTACGACTACCACCAGCACCACTACTATTACTACTACTACTACTATTACTACTACTACTACTACTACAACAACTACTACTACTACTACTACTACTACTACTACGACTACTACTACTACTACTACTACTACTACTACTACTACTACTACTACTACTACTACTACTACTACTAACTACTAACTACTAACTACTAACTACTACTACTACTACTACTACTACTACTACTACTACTACTACTACTACTACTACTACTACTACTACTACTACTACTACTACTACTACTACTACTACTACTACTACTACTACTACTACTACTACTAACTACTAACTACTAACTACTACTACTAACTACTAACTACTAACTACTACTACTACTAACTACTAACTACAACTACTACTACTACTACTACTACTACTACTACTACTACTACTACTACTACTACTACTACTACTACTACTACTACTACTACTACTACTACTACTACTACTACTACTACTACTACTACTACTACTACTACTACTACTACTACTACTACTACTACTACTACTACTACTACTA